AGCACGCCTGCTGACAAGACACTTGCGCAACGGCCCCCCGGAGGCAGCTGACACCTGCAGGATCCCCTCGCCGGGAGCGCTCCAGCAGCTAACCACTGAATGCTTGTTTAGGACTCAGGGCCTCTAAAGTTTCGGAGGCGTGACCTGGGTGCTGCCTAAGGTGGCCTGTCCCAGCGCTGGATGCCGCTGGAACGGAGCAAAGAAAGTTCCGCCAGCTAGGAGCATAGCAGGCGGGCAACCTCCATAATTAGCCGAGCATTGCGCAGCGGGGGTCAAAGCTTTTGTAGAGCGGCTTAGCCTTGGGAGGACATTTGCAGCTAAAGCTCTGAAACCCCTGTAAAGCGACAGGTGACACCGAAAAATTGATTCCCCTTCTCCCGCAGCAAGAACCCTGTAAAGCGCCGGGGAACACCGAAAAGCGACACCCCCCTCTTGCGCGAGCTAGGCCCGACAGCTAGAGTTTTGACGGCCGCTCATGTGTTGCAGCGGCTCTGGATCAACAGCAAGCCACTGGCCTGGATTGGATGCTCTCTCCAAGCCTTTTGCTTGCTGCAGCCCCTGAACATGTGGGGGCAGACTTGTCTCCCTCTTTTGATGTGCGCCCGCAGCGACAAGTGAGACATGTAGGGCGCATCCCATGAAACCCCGAGGACACGAGGCGCTTGCAGCCCTGAGTTTCAGCGCTCTCATGGCGACACCCCCAGCTCCTGCAGCACTTTCCGGGCTTGAGAGCTTGTAGAACTTCTGCAGAACTCGGCTCTTTCCTTGGCAGCAGGATGTTCAAGACGCCTTTCCCTCAGTGTATCGTGCTCCCAGCAGGTCCTGGAAGATGTAGGGGGAGCCTTAGAACAAGTGTCCTGCAGACACGGTCGCGTCGCACACATCACAAGCGAAGGGCAAAGGTTCCAGATGGTTCCAGTACAAAGTGCACCGTCTGTGACCTTTCTTCGCGCTCGGGCAGAATCGCTTTGGGGCTCTGAAAGCCGCAACCAGGCCGCAACGCGAAAGCGCTTGTTTTAGAGCCGAGAGTGAGAGACCGATCTCGCGAAGTGTCCGGGCACAAAGAGCACGTGCATGGGCGTGCCTTTTCACGCGCCGCAGCAGACCGTGTTTTGAGGGTTTGAGTGAGGCCTGCTTGCAATTGGACCTTGCCACGCAGACTCGTCGAAATGCCAATCCACTGCTCAGGCACATCGTTCATCAGCGGGACACATACACGCAACATGGAAAGTTGACCTTTTTTCTTGCGGTAAGGCAAATCACTGCGGGGAAGCTTTTTAGGAAGTCGACCGAAACTGCGTTTCCCTCGGCCAGAATTGTCCACAGTTCCACGCATGCGTGTCGTAAGCCATGTTGGCTATACGATGTGATATAGGTTCAGAGAAATGATTGCCTCTTCTTCGTAAGTTTTGGTAGGCTTGACTCCATGCTTTGCTTGCGTTTCACTCGGGCGGAGGTGCTTCAGCAACCATGTTGGATGATGTTTTCAGGCATGTTGAGCCCCAGCGTCCCTTGGGGATTTCGATACTTGCATACTGATTCTCGCTGCTTTTCGTAGCTGTAAAATCCATGCGTTCATTGGGGGAAAGGATCCCGTGGTCGACTTCGTCAACTTCCTGAACCCTCTGCGTTCATTGGGGTTTCACGTCTCCCCCAATAAAAGGGTCGACTTTCCCGAGCCCCTGTACCTGTTCACTTCGCTATAGTTCCGGAACGGTTCTCGCCTCTTCGCAGATGTTGAAGAGCCAGTGTAGCAAGTCGGATATTAGTGCTGTGTAGGGATGAGGTTTTGAAAAATCCATTAATCTGCAACATTGTTGCCGCCTCATTGCAAGCGATTGCTGCCACTTCGCAAAGAGGCTTTTCAAATGATTGCGAAATGGCTCTCTTTCACGGTGGGTTCCGTTCGTATTGGAGCCTTGGCAACTCTTCAAAACTTTCTGGAACCAACGAAATATAACACCTCCATCCCCAACATGTTAGGACTGGGGGGTAGCTGGAGCTGCCAATGCCTGACGTCCCACCAAGCTTCGCCATTCCGGCGTCTCACGTTGGCCAAGGTCAGGATGCACCAAGAAAGGAAAATGGTGCGTCGCGGGGTTTTGCTGGCCATTTAATTAATTTAACCTGGGTCTCAAGGCCAACCAGGCAAACCAAAGCATAAATGGAGACGGATATTGGCACATCAGCACCCGGGACCCTGCCTTCTTCTATTTACCAAAGTGGGGGATGTCCTTGACTTCTCACTCGTGCGCGTGTGTGTGCCTCGACCGTGCCTTTAAGACACTTGTTTAACGTCTCGCGCAGAGTCCACATACACTGAGAGAAAAAGGTCTCCTAGGCCTGCGCCTTGACCAGTGCAAGGGAAGCACATGTGGCCCTCATGTGGTCCTGCGAAGTTCATTGAGGATTTGGTCTGCGCCCCTTTGGGGCCACCTTTCCCTCGGCGTAGCTTCCTCTTGCAGGGTTGGGTGGGGGCCTGGCGAACCCTGCCAGCCGCTCCCGCGGTGCAGCAACCGGTGAGCCTGGCGCGAGCGCCAAGGTTCCCAAGAAAGCAGGGTGTCAGCAGGTGAGAAGCCTGGGATGTTCGCCCGCATGTCACCCGCCCTTGGATTCCGCCCATCATCACCGGCAAAGGCCTGGCGCATTTCAAAAGCAGTGCATCACCTGAGAGCTAAACCCTAAACCCCTAAACCTAAAGCCTAAGTCCTGAACACCACTCCGTAGTCAGAGACACAGTCGAAAAGGCTGTGTACTTGGATTCCTTTCTGATGCACGTAGCTTCCGCAAGCCAAAGCTCGACCTAACTTGATGGCCATGAAGTTGCTGCGAGGCTTTCTCGGTTTTGAGCCCAATCTTCGGTGTCCACCCTTCTGCCGCGTCCGACTTCGGCCACACAGTGTGTGAGGCGTGATAGGTGACAGCAGAGCCTGGTAATCTGTGAGCTTTGCAGAGGACAGCACTCTTCGGCTGTGAATGCGCCCGATGGCAAACGTGAAGCTGGACTAGTGTGAGTCGCGCGCCAGTTGACTCCTTCGTCCTCCCTCCTCCCTCCTCCCCTCCTCTCCTCCCTCCTCCCTCCTTCCTCCTCCAGCATTTGCACCAGAGCCCCCATCCCCAGCACATGTGGACCTTCCTACGCACAAAAAGAGTCAAGAGCTCTTGGGGTAACTTTCTCTGTGCGACAGATGTTCCGGGCGTGAGATGGGGGCGAGCGCTCTCCCTCACACTCACTGCCTCCACTGCTGCGGCGGACAGCCAAGAGGACACAGCCCTAGCCGCTTCAGCTGCATCCAGGCGCAGATGCCGGCTCCGGGTACCACAGTGAGAGGTGCAGGCTGCGGCAGCTTCCGCGCGCACACAATTCTGCGCATCTGCAGCAGACGCCCTTGAGATCCGAGGTCTCATCCTGCCGTTCAACCTGTGCCAGGCGAGAAAAACAATGACGCAGCTGCGTCCCCCTGGTTCATAGTTCGCGTAGCCACGAGCGAAGCTTTCACCCATGCTCATCAAGTGCGCTCAAAAGTGCGCTGCAGAAGTTGTGCCTGAAGCTTTGTGTCGGAGCATCCTTCGCTTCCTGCGAATGCTGTTTAGCAGTTTAGCAGGCGCTCTTTGCAGTTGCTGGTAGCTTTCGGGATTTCGGGGTCTGCTTTTCGGACGCAAGCGACTCGTGAGACTGTCTAGCTGGGGGTTTACGAAAATACGATAAAATAAGGGACCCCAAATATACTCCCGAAATAGTAGGATTCCCTCATAATCAGGACCCCTATTAGGTACCCGTAATTTCGGAACCTCTCAGAGAGTGACAGAACACAACGTGTGCACCATGTGAGAGGCCTATTCTTTTTTGCGACTTGTAAAAGCCCCGCCGTGGACGTCAACGCCACGCTTGTGCGGTTTAGGGGTTAGGGGTTAGGGGTTTAGGGTTTAGGGTTGAGGGTTTAGGGTTTAGGGTTTAGGGTTTCTTGTAGGAAACATGTGGGGGCTCAGGCGTCGTGGATCGCCTTTTAACCTGCGAGACACCCAAAGCTCCGAAGTGATCCTTTAGCTCCCGAAGACCTAAACCGTTTAGCCCCAAGCTACAGCTCTCAAAGCCCTAAGCCCCGCCTGTGACTTGACAGGATCTGGATTTTTGTTAGACAACAGGCTGAACATGTTCTGGATGCCTAAGGCCTAGGGCTGAAGTCAAGGTGTTGGGCCGTAAAAGTTTAGAGCATTGATGCCCAGGTACCGCAAGCTAGCCTGACGAATGTTATCTGGGTCAGGATAGGGCCCCTCAGGCAACCTTTGCTTCTAGACACTAAAGATCCTCAAAGCCCTTCGAGTGACCCTACGCAGCCCCAGGCCGTTCCATTGAATGCAGGCTTAGGTTGATGGCCATGTAGGGCTTCGAGGCGTAGCTGTTGGAGCCTGGAAGGGTGTTTCACGCAAAATCCCCCTCGCCCCCTCGCCCCTCCCTCCCCTCCCCCCACCACCCTCCCCCCCCCCCCTCCCCCACCACCCTCCCCCCCCCCCCCTCCCCCCCCCCCCCCCCCGCCCCCCCCGCCCCTCCCCCCCCCACGCTGTCGATCATCATCGAGCCATAGACGATGCTGCTCACTTTGGTTGGAGACGAACAGTGACCATTCGTACCGGTATGCACAGAGTTTTCGACCCCCCCCTCTCCCTCACCCAAACCCATCGATGAAGCCTGCTTTCGGGGGGGAAGGGGGGGGGGGAACCATGAAAAATTTGAATTGTCCGTTTTTCTAAGTGTTTGCAGGACCCTCGCCTTCATGCACCTTTTGCATCATCTTTGTTTCTGTATCCCCTGCTTCCACACCCGCACATTGAGCTGGAGCAGAGACTGCCGCTCCGTGTAGAGTGCACTTGTCGGTAAGTACCGCGCCGGCTATGAGTCGCACAAAATCACAGGGTGCTTGCATATCTGATCGAGAGAGAGTGCTCAAGACAGTCTTTCATTGGAAGCCTTCTCATAGATTTTCCCTGATCACAGCAAGATGAGCTCGCAGGCAGGGCGGGGGGGGGACGGCAGCGCTCCAACCGCCGCAATCTTGACTCGTAGAGATTCTTGTCAGTAACTGGCACTGTCTGCTAAACATGCTGCACTTGCAAGGCCGGAGGACAGCGCAAGCCCGGCAAGACTCAGATGTGCTCCTTCTTCTTGAAGGGGCATTGTCAAAACGGTGAGAACTGCCGGTTCGCGCACGGCCAGCGTGAGCTGGACGCCTCGAATGGTTCGCGCTCCGTAGCACCGAGCGCCGCGAGAGCTCCGAGCCAGACTCGTCCAACCAGTGCTGCACAGCACAAGACGCAGATGTGCTCCTTCTTCTTGAAGGGGCATTGTCAAAACGGCGAGAACTGCCGGTTCGCGCACGGCCAGCGTGAGCTGGACGCCTCGAATGGTTCGCGCTCCGTAGCACCGAGCGCCGCGAGAGCTCCGAGCCAGACTCGTCCAACCAGTGCTGCACAGCACAAGACGCAGATGTGCTCCTTCTTCTTGAAGGGGCATTGTCAAAACGGCGAGAACTGCCGGTTCGCGCACGGCCAGCATGAGCTGGACGCCTCGAATGGTGCGCGCACCGTAGCACCAAGCGCCGCGAGAGCTCCGAGCCAGACTCGTCCAACCAGTGCTGCACAGCACAAGACGCAGATGTGCTCCTTCTTCTTGAAGGGGCATTGTCATAACGGCGAGAACTGCCGGTTCGCGCACGGCCAGCATGAGCTGGACACCTCGAATGGTGTGCGCACCGTAGCACCGAGCGCCGCGAGAGCTCCGAGCCACACCTCAAACGGTGCGCGAACCGTACCACCAGACGCTGCAGGTGTCACCCCACTGATCCCACACCAGACATCTGGAGCTCGCCCCAAAACCCGCATGTGCCCCTTCTTCCAGATGGGCCACTGCCAGAGCGGAAGGAACTGTAAATTGGCTCATGGTGTGCACGAAATGGATTCCTACCACCCAGATGCCATGGCTGCCACTCCCCGGAGTGCGGCCCAAGGCGCAAGCACCCCAAACACCCCAAGCACTGCCAGCGCCGCCAGCCGGCACAGTGACAACCAGGGTGGTCGGGCGGAGCAGCGACTGCCACCGGTGCCTCAGCTGAGTGCGTTTAGGGTTTCGAGTTCAGGGTTTCGGGTTTAGGGTTATATACCTCTGAGCAACCCCTGCTTGGAATCCTATGTGCGGTTGTACACATTGAGATTTGGGTTTTGTAGGGTTCGGTGATGTGCACTGTGAGTTGCTCCCTAAACCCTAAACCCTAAACCCTAAACCCTAAACCCTAAACCCTAAACCCTAAACCCTAAACCCTAAACCCTAAACCCTAAACCCTAAACCCTAAACCCTAAACCCTAAACCCTAAACCCTATACAGAGAGCCTCGGTAGGCTCCCGGTTAGGAAACGGCTGGTCCATGATTGTCCGAATTCACTTTCTCATTGTGCCCTTGTCATTCGGACCCTCAACCCTCAACCCTCAACCCTCAACCCTCAACCCTCAACCCTCAACCCTCAACCCTCAACCCTCAACCCTCAACCCTCAACGCTCAACCCTCAACCCCTACACCCTAAACCCCTACACCCTCAACCCTCAACCCTAAACCCCTACACCTAAACCCCTACACCCTCAACCCTCAACCTTCAGCCCGAAACCAGACACCCAAACTTCTGAGGTGTGCCAGCACGGTGAGGATTGCACTCGAGCAGACTGTTGGTTCCACCACCCGGATGGCCGCAAGATCGACCAGGAGCGACCCTAAACCCTAAACCCTAAACCCTAAACCCTAAACCCTAAACCCTAAATCCTAAACCCTGAACCCTAAACCCTAAACCCTAAACCCTGAACCCCAAACCCGAAACCCCAAACCCTAACCCTAAACCCTAAACCCTAAACCCTAATCCTAAACCCTAAACACTCAACCCAAAAAGCCTTGAGCTGACACCCGATGGCTCCGACAGCTTTATGGATGAGCTGTAGGCCCCCATACTACAAGCGCCAGTGACCCTAACCCTAAACCCCAAACCCTAAACCCTAAACCCCAAAACCCTAAACCCTAAACCCCAAAGCCCAAACCCTAACCCTAAGCCCCAAACCCTAAACCCTAAACCCTCTTCTGTGAAAACCTAGACCAGGGCGACTCTCGAAAATTCCGCCGCCAGGATGCGATGGACGTCCGCGTGCGCGAAGCCATGGCTGGGCTGCCCAAAGCGAAGCACACGCTGCACCTCGGCCGAGAGCCCTAAACCCTAAACCCTAAACCCTAAACCCTAAACCCGAAACCCTAAACCCTAAACCCTAAACCCCAAACCCTAAACCCTAAGCCCTAAACCCTAAACCCTAAACCCTTTCTTCGGAAGTGTGCAGTCAGGCGGGACAGGTTGGGTTAAGTCAAACTTGGCCGTGACCATTCGAGACACGGGCAAGAAGATCAACCAAGATTCATATGAGCAGTACAATTTGTGTGTTAATGTAATAACATTTTAAAATATTATAAGAATTTGATATGTGACAATACCAATATAGTTTATATGGAAATATATAGCTAGTAATTTATTGGTATAATCATAATGCAATATAGCAGTATACAAATATCATGAATAATACAATAGGCATACAAGTATAACAATATAGGAATACAACAAAACATTAAGCCCTGAACCCTTAACCCTTGACCCTGAACCTGAATCCCTTAACCCTGAACCCTTAACCCTAAACCCTAAACCCTAAACCCTAAACTCTAAACCCGCTTTTTTTTGCTTTCTCAGGAACCGCCTTCGCGAGGCCCGCTTCGGACACCAGGCCCTCGAGAAAAAGGCCAAGGAGCGCGCGCTCGGCCCAGGGTGGTCCTTGTGGTCGGGATTACTCTAGGGGTCTACTTTGGTTTCAAAGAGGGTTTAGGGTTTAGGGTTTAGGGTTTAGGGTTTAGGGTATGGGAGGAAAGCTGGAGGTCAGGCAGTTTAGGACGTGGAGAATGTAGGAGCCCCATCCTCACAGATCCCATCAGCTCTTACCCTAAACCCAAACCCTAAACCCTAAACCCTAAACCCTAAACCCTAAACCCTGAACCTAAACCCTAAACCCTAAACCCGAAACCCTAAACCCAAGATGCGGATGGGAGCTCTCGCCCAGGTGCTGCAGCTCCGGATGGAAAGCTTGGAGGCCGCCTTGTCAGAGTGTTCGTGCAAAGTATAGGAGCTGTTCTGTGAAGTTTTTGGTAGGGTTTAGGGTTTAGGGTTTAGGGTTTAGGGTTTAGGGTTTAGGGTTTACGGTTTAGGGTTTAGGGTTTAGGGCTTAGGGCTTAGGGTTTAGGGTTTAGGGTTTCGGGGTAGCATCGGGATGAGTTGGGTTGCCGTGATCTTTTAGGGTTTAGGGTTCAGGGTATATATATATATAAATCAAATCAGCGTGCTATCTTATGGAAGTTCCTTCAGGAAAGATCACAGCTTGTTATCGTTTTGGTCGGGTGGCACCTGCACAGCATAGGAAGGATCATTTCGGGAAGCCTGGGCCCCACGCCCGAAGCCCCCTATAAATTGTGGCTTAGGGTTCAGGGATGAGGGCTGCTATTTGGGGGGTTTACGATTTTGGGGGTACCTTAGTGGGGTCCTTATTATAAGGGGATCCTGCTATTTTGGGGTTTTTTTCAGGCATCCCCATATTTTCGTAAACCCCCATATCAAGATGATGTTTTTTGCATAAGCCCCAGAGGCCCCTATGTTCCCCCTTATACAAACAGTCCTTAATAGGGATTATAATAGGGGGTACTCTAATAAGGACTCTTAGTATAAGGGGGAACATCCCAACCCTGAACCCTAAACCCTAAACCCGAAACCCTAAAGCCTAAACCCTAAACCCTAAACCCTAAACCTTAAACCCTAAACCTCAACTGCTCTTTTCGGCCGAGGCCCTCACCCCACAGGCACGCCGCGACAAGGCTGCCGAGGCGGAGGTGGCCACGGCAAAGGTCGATGAGTTGAGCGCGCAGCTCGCATGCTTCGACGAGGCCTAGCTTCAAGTTGAGCGTGTTGCTTCAGGGGTTTAGGGTTTAGGGTTTGGGGTTTAGGGTTTAGGGTTTGGGGTTTAGGGTTTAGGGTTTAGGGTTTGGGGTTTAGGGTTCAGGGTAGAGTGGTTCTTTTTTGCTAACGCCCCTGAGTTTGTGTTGAGCTTTGCAAGTGTTGGCATGTATCTGCTCCAGAGCGCAGGTGGGTTCTCAAAGTCATGGTCCCTGGCTGGGTCTCTCCCATAAGCCCTAAACCCTAACACCCTAAACCCTAACACCCTACACCCTAACACCGTAAACCCTAAACCCTAAACCCTAAACCCTGAACCCTGAACCCTGAACCCTGAACCCTAAACCCGAAACCCTAAACCCTAAACCCTAAACCCCAAACCCTAAACCCCAAACCCCCCCCCCCCCCGCCGTACTGGAGCCAAGGAGACCTGCAGCCAATGCATCCATCGGCTCTTGGAGCTATCTCGCAGTGCCGAGAGTTTGGGAGACATCGAGGAAGAATAGGGTTTAGGGTTTAGGGTTTAGGGTTTAGGGTTTAGGGTTTAGGGTTTAGGGTTTAGGGTTTAGGGTTTAGGGTTAGGGTTTAGGGTTTAGGGTTTTCGGGTTTCGGGTTTCGGGTTTAGGGTTGAGGGTTGAGGGTTTAGGGTTTGAAGCACATGGGGATCCTGCGGGAAAGGGTTGCCGGAGGTATGTGGAGGGAGGTGGGAGCTATTCGTCTCGTTCGGGGCGCAGTCATGAAGGTGTTGAGGTCACAATGGGTTCCCCTACTACCCCCCACTACACTCCCCCCGCGTAGGTTCCCCCCATAATTACCCATAATTAAACCCTAAACCCTAAACCCCAAACCCTAAAAATTAAGGCTATTTAAGGGGGGAACCCAGGGGGGGGGGGTAGTATAGAGGGGGGTAGTAGGGAAAGGCATGACTTTGGGGCTGAAGCTCGGCTGTTCCAGGAAGTGGAATTTTGGGTTTGGGGTTTGGGGTTTAGGGTTTAGGGTTTAGGGTTTAGGGTTTAGGGTCAGTCTCCGGGCCGGGGATTCGGAAGCCGCAAAAGCCACAAGCCCTATATCGACCTAAGCCCTATAAGCCTAGAAGCCCTTTCAACCCCCATAAACGCCATAAACCTTGCAAACTTAAACCTGCTGAACCTTATAAACCTATATATAAAGCACTATAAGCCCAGACACCCCTTAAAGCTCCTCTACTTGGAGGTTCATGGGGACTTATAACCACAATTGTAAACAAACAACTTAGGGGACTTGGGGGGGCTTATAAGTGCAGTTATAATTGGGACCCTAAACCCTAAACCCTAAACCCTAAACCCTAAACCCTAAACCCTAAACCCTAAACCCTAAACCCTAAACCCTAAGCCCTAAACCCTAAACCCTAAACCCTAAACCCTAAACCCTAAACCCTAAACCCTAAACCCTAAACCCTAGACCCTAAACCCTAAACCCTAAACCCTAAACAGACCCTAAACCCTAAACCCTAAACCCCAATGGGTGTATGCGGTTGCAGTTATATTTGGGGTTCTAATTGGGCTTATAAGTACTCATGAACCTCCAGCTAATCCCTCTAAATCCTACAAACCCTACGATGATCGCCCCCTCAGGAGGACGGCAGCCAGGAAGCCCGGTCATCGACCGGAAGCCAGGCGACAGGGTTTAGGGTTTAAGGGGTTAAGGGTTTGGAGTTTAGGGTTTTGGGAAAAGGGTTTGGAGTTTAGGGTTTAGGGTTTGAGTCGAACTTTCGCGGTGCTCACGCATGCCCGCCTCGGCCGCACCGCCTGCAGCAGGAAGCCCCGATGCCAACCCCCCCAAGCCATTTCAAACCCAAGGAGGCAACGAAGCAGCGTGGGGCCATGGCGGGGTACAGACATGGGAGCTCAGAACGAATCCCTAAACCCTAAACCCTAAACCCTAAACCCTAAACCCCAAACCCTAAACCCTAAACCCTAAACCCTAAACCCTAAACCCTAAACCCTAAACCCTAACCCTAAACCCTAAACCCTAAGCCCTAAGCCCTAAACCCTAAACCCTAAATCCCTAAACCCTAAACCCTAAACACTAAACCCTAAACCCTAAACCCTAAACCCTAAAGCCTTAAGCCCGAACGGACCCAAGGGCTCCCATGGGCCCATGGGCTCCCAAGGACCCAGGGATTCTCCTATGGGCGCACGTGACCGCATGGCTTTTGTGAGACGGAGATGGGTTTAGGGTTTAGGGTTTAGGGTTCAGGGTTCAGGGTTTAGGATTTAGGGTTTAGGGTTTCGGGTTTAGGGTTTAGGGAGAGATGCTTCTTCTCCGATCCAGGATTCCGACGCTGATCGGCTGGCTTCGATCAACCTCCTGCACCAGGCGTCATGGCACCGAACCCCCGCCCTCAAACTCTAAGCCCTACAGAGACCCCAAGCCCTCAACCCTAAACCCGAAACCCTGAACCCTAAACCCCACAAGAAGCTTCGGAGCCCTTGGGATCGCAGGTGAAGCGCGAGGTCACCCGGCTGCAGGCCGCCCTCCCGGCGCTGGCGGCGCGCTCGGAGCTGCAGCCGCCTGCCTTGAGAGCTTGGGGTTTAGGGTTTAGGGTTTGGGGTTTAGGGTTTAGGGTTTAAGGGTTTAAGGGTTTTTTGGGTTTAAGGGTTTAGGGTTCGGGGTTCGGGGTTCGGGGTTTGGGCTGTAGGGTTTGGGGTTTTGGGTTTGGGGTTTAGAGTTTTGGGTCGTGGCGGCCTCCCGTTTTTTTTGCTGGCTTCCGACAGAGTTTGGGTGCAGCCCTCAACCCTAATCCTAGACCCTAAACCCTACACCCTAAACCCTAAACCCTAAACCCGAAACCCGAAACCCGTAGCCCTAAACCCTAAGCCCCTTGGCAGGCAGAAGCTGCAGCGGAGCCGCAACCTTGTGGTGAAAGGCGGGCGCGTGCTCTCCAAGACCTTAAAGACCGGAGTCGTTCGCGGTATGCCAAGTCTGGGGTTCGGGTTTAGGGTTAAGGGTTAAGGGTTTAGGGTTTAGGGTTTAGGGTTTAGTTGGGAGGGGGGGGGCTGAGGGGGGGGGATTGGACGGAAGGGGGGGTCGAGGGGTGGCGAGCGTTGAGGGGGTTTCGGGAGGTTGTGGGGGTGTTTTGTTTTAGGGAGGGTCTTGGTTATTTTTTTTTTTTGGGGGGGGGGGGGTTTGGGAGGGGTTTGGGAGGGGTTTGGGACTTTTTTTGGTGAGTTTTGGGAGGTTTTGGGGGTTTTGGTGGGGGGTTGAGGGAGGGGAGTTTAGGGTGCATGCCTCGTCAATCACCCTAAACCCTAAACCCTAAACCCTAAACCCTAAACCCAAAACCCAAAACCCTATGGAGCACGCCAGGCGACACGGGCAGTGGAAAGTCCACACAGCTGCCGCAATACCTTGCCGAGCAAGCCAACGAGGCCGCCAGGGACAGATTCAGGTTTCGCGAGGATTGTTCCTAGACCTTAAAGCCTAAAGCCTAGTGCCTAAACCCTA